ACCCTGGATCTAGAGCTCTGCATGCACTCACTTGAAGGCACACTCATTTTTCTCACAGGCCTATGGGGAATGCACAGGTATTCCCCTGCTTCTCTACTCTCAGATTTGTGTCTGCAGGAGCAAATGAACATGTAGGAAATCCTTCAGATCAGTGGTGTCCATTGTTTGGCTGCTGGGCAGGGAGACCGGTACATGAGGCAGCTGCCTCTGCTGTCTCAGTCACAGAGCACGGAAGCTCCTGCTTGAGGCAGAGGCCACTGCCTGCTGTTTCCACCAAGCAGAGAGGCCAGTGCTTGGGGCAAGGGGAAGTGCAGAGGGGTCAAATATTTGCCATTCTCAGACCCCGGAGAGGTCCACAGGTCACCTGGATCCAAACTGTCCCAGCACACTGGTTGTCCATTCTCACCCAGGAAACCTCAATTTCTATGTTCTGGCTTCAGCTGCCCCTCCACTTACTATTTTCAGAGTTTTGGATCCTCAGATATGGTGAGGGATGATCACTGCTATCTTGGATCCTGTTCACAACATGGAATTTTGGATGCAGTTTTACGATGCCTTTCCCAAGCTGATGCATGGAGCCCTCAAACTGAGTTAAAACAAACTCTTATTTCCTTTCAATTGCTTTACTGGAATATTTTATCACAACAATATGTAAAGTAATTAATACCTTTGGACTGGACATCTTAAATCAATAGAAATACACTTGATGAGAACATGCTTTCAGCAGGGCTCAGTGGTGCACATCTTTCATCCTACCCAGAACTTGGGAAACAGGCAGGAGAATCTCTTTGAGTTCCTAATCAGCCTGATCTACATAATGGATTTCATTCCCTGTCATAAACTCTAAGTAGCAGTGACAGGAGAGAATTTGGTTCTGAAGAACTAGAAGATTGGGTGGGGGTGGTAAAGAGGCTGCAGGGAGAAGGTAGGGGGTGGGGTCGACACCTGAATACCAACTTTGGCAGAAAAAAATGTGAGTTCCAGGTTCAGGTGGACAGTGATAGACAGGAGTATTTTCTGCCCTCCTCTGCCTTTCCATGTGTGCACACATACACCTATGCAGAGAGAAAAAAATGAGCTCTCATCAGAGTGTGGGCCTCTGTCGTCACCTTGCACACTTCAGCCCTGTGGACCTCCACTGTGAAGGAAAGACACATGCACCCACTCACCCTCCTTCCCCTGAGCCCTCCTTCTCCTCTGCACAATATGCCAGATTGTACCAGCCCTGCAGCCTCTCTCATCTTTCTGATAATGGCTTTTCCTGCCAGTGGCTTCTGCTCTTTAGATACATTCCTCTGGGAAGCTCGAACCTGCAAACAGAAAGTTCTGTGGCTTGAAGTCATCAAACTGTCTAAATGAGTCATCTTATTACTGTAAACTTCCCATTTTCCAATGTACTTCTGTCAAGACAGCATTAGAATTAAAGGCAAAAGCAAAATCTGTGAGTATTTTTTGTGTAAGTTCTTCTGCCCATGGAAATTCTGTGTATTTATTCATTAAAACCCAAATCTGTGCCTTACGAATACATGAAGGCTTCCCATAAAATTCCACATGGAAATATTAGCCAGACTTGCTAAGAAAAATACTCGTGGAGATAGAGCAGTTCCAGATATACATTCATTTTTGCATTTTGGTTGCATTTTAAAGCATGGACTCACTGCAGTTCAAGGCAGCTGCCACTCTCAAACCTTCCTGCCTCCCAGGTGCTTTTGTTCACAGGCATGGAGCACTATACCTAGATAAATAAACATACATACACACATATGTATATACATGCTTTATTGGAAGAAAATAAACAAGAACAAAATGGTGGCTCCTCAGTCTGCTCAGGCCCAATTTCCAAAAAAAGTTCCCTTTCCTACACACACCAGTGACAGGGATTTCACACTGTGACAGGAATTTCAGACACATACACACAAACACACCTATGACAAGAATTTCACACACATATACTTATGACAGTAATCACATACACACACACACACACACACACCTGTGACAGAAATTTCATGCACACACATACACAAACACTGTATGTGACAAGGTTTTGCACACATACCTGTGACAGGAATTTCACATACACACCTGTGACAAGGTTTTTACACACACAAACCTATGACAAGAATTTCTCTCTCTCTCTCTCTCTCTCTCTCTCTCTCTCTCACACACACACACACACACACACACACCTATGACAAGAATTTTCACACGCAAAACTGTGACAGGAATTCCAGACACAAACACATACACATGCACACACACACACATATGACAAGAGTTTCACACATACCTGTAATAGGGATTTCACACACAAACCTGTTACAAGAATTTTACACACACACACACACACACACACACACCTGTGGCAGAGATTGAGCACACACACACCAATGCACACAAACACTTGTGGGAGTAATTTCACACAAATACCTGTGACAAGGATTTCACACACAGACGCACTCACAGTCACAAACTATTGGTAATGTTCTTGTGAAATGTATACAATTTACCCTTGTTCTTTCACATGCTGATTTCTCTACCCCACTATCTGGTTTCAATCAGGATGTTGAACTGTGATGCACCTGTCTCAAGTTTGTGTAAACATGCCACCATTTGTTCTCTGTACTGTCAATAAAAACAACCAGCCTGTGCTGAGCAATGGAGAGAATAGAGTGGGACATCCTAGTCTGGAGGGGAGGAGAAAGAAGAGAGTGGGAGGGGGTCAGAAAAAAAGAGATCTGAGAGGAGAGGAGAGATGAGCAGGACACAACATATGTCTAAAAGCAAGTATAATGTGGTAAATCTGAATGGGAGGAAGCTTTGCAGGCTTGGAGGTTTAGGATGGAGTAATTATTGCCCAGCATTGTGCTCTAGGTTAATTAAATAAATCCTTGTCTCTGTGTGGTGATTTGGGTATACAGCTGGTTTAGTAATAACTGCTGTTTAAATAAAATATAAATCAATAATAAATATTAATAATCAGCAACAAATGTTGTACCAACATTTGGAAGAATTTATAGTAATCTAACCAGATTTACAGCAATCTTGCAAGAATTTAAGTAGAGAGTAAAACTGTAGAGCAGTTTTCTAGTTCTAGCCTTAAAAGCAAAGCAAAGGAAGTTCCTAAACTAGGAGCTCACAAATTATTGATCAGACAGACCCCCCCCCCAGCAGCAGCAGCAAGGCCTCCAGCAGGCTGCAGAAAAACAAAAAACGATACATACAAACCCCAGAGTAGTAGTTTTTTTTTTCCTTAGGTAGAGAAAAAAGTGGTGATTTAACAAGGAAGCTTCTCAAAGCCAGACGTTGCTACCAAGGCAGAAATCAAAATCCCTTTGAGAAGGGGTTCTTGGGTTCTTTCATCATGGAGTCAACTGTGCTTGTTGGGAACAAGCAAAAGAAATGTATTCTAAGTATTACCATTCCACATTCAGAGTTCATTTAATCATAGAGAGAAACTAAGTTCACAGTCACAAGCCCTAGGCAAGCTAGGGACTTCCCAATAGCTGAACAGCTTCTGTTTTAAGGACACAGATCTCTGAGTCCAGACATCTCAGGGACAACTTGTAAGAAAAGAGTTGTCTGAGGGCAGACATCTCAAGGACAACTTCTCCATCTTGCTGGCAGGGTCAAACTAAGGTCACGTTCCCAGGCCCAGGAACCAAATCCTATCCTGACTGATGGAAACTCCTTTGTTCAACACCTTATGTCAAAAAATGATTAGACAATGCTACAACCCACTCCAAACTACCTTGCTTTATGGTTTCATCCTTTAAATATGCTATACAACATCCCTTCAGGATCACAGTTCAACTCCCCAATCAGTTCTGCAGCCCTGATCAATCAGTAGCAGCTTGATTACAATAATTTTTTTTATCATCTGCATTGCCTGGTGTTTGAGTTTTGTTGAATTTAAGGAGACCCCACAACATACTAAAGTCTGGGAGTCTACTAAGGTCTGGGCTCCTGCTAAACTTTTGTCATCTTGAAAACAAACCCAAAATAATATATTAGGCTCTGTGCATTCTCACTGATGGATATCAGATCTTAGCAAGCAGGCATTCAGCCTTTATTGAAAGAAAAAGTATTGTTCTCAATGTGAAACAATAACAAATAAATAAGCCAGCAGACTTTCTTGTTTTCAAGGTAAGATGTACCTGCCACCCACTGGCACCATTAGCACACCCGGTTCAGAGGGAATGCTCTTTACTCCACCCCTGTTGGTCCTGTGACTCCTAGCTAAGAACCGGGCATTGAGTGCCCTGCACACACTCTAAGCACCCCTGGGACTGCATCCTTTTGCATTCTAGGTTCAGGGAAACAGAGCCCACACCTTGCAGGTGGCAGCTGTGGCCTGAAAAGCATCTAGTTCTCGGCTCTTCCTGCGAGCACAAGACTGTATGATATAGCATAACAAATCTCTGGAAACTCTGTCTACACCAGGAGTCCCTGGGCTCGGGAACAGTAGGTGCCATGGGGCCACTGTGAGCCCTGGCTTTCAGGAGGGCGGTGCTTGGGGACAGCTAGGCTTGTGTGGCGCTAGGGGCCATGAGTTCAATCAGGGGAGACTAAGGAGAAGCCATACCCTACCCGAACTCCACCCTTGAGTGCCTCCACCTCTCCACTGCTCCGGCTCTACTGGGAACATCTACGGGGGCGACAGGCGGAAATTCCTGCGCCTCTTCCTTATGGCTTCCTGCCAAGGAGGTGGAACATGGATGAGGGCGTGGGGGATAAAATCCCCACATCCTCTAAGCAGCCCTGCAAATTGCTTTTACTTTGTTGCAGGGACACCCCGTAGGCCTCGCAGGTGAGTAACAGGCAGGGTGGGGCCGCGGACTGGCTCCTCCTTGGTCAGGGTGGGCAAGAGGGCGGAGCGAAGTGAAGGCACCTCCCCTATCGCGCGTCTGGACACCCCAAAGGCGCCTCCTCCATCACGTCGTCCTGACACCACCCCCTAGCCGGCGTAGACCAGTCCCCGCCCAGCCTGCTTCCGCCGGGGATGAAGAGCGTTGGGGTTGGCTCCGGTCCTGTGGACCTCACGCGCGTCCGTGGAGCCCCCTGTCTTCTTCCAAGAGCCCCTCCCGCCGCTCTCAGCTTGGCTGCGTGCTCTTCCATTGTCCTCGAGGCCGTGGGCGCCCAGAAGCGCGTGCGAGCCCTCTGCTGATGCCGAGGCTGCTGTTGCGCCCCTGTCACACGGTGCGTCCCCCACCCCATGGAGCCGCCCGCCGGGGCCACTGCCATCAAAAAGGATCCAGAGGACAGAGACGAAGACCCCGGCAGCCCCAATGACTCAGCGCCCGCCGCGGACCACCGGTCCAGGACTTCGTCCCCGCAGAAAGTGGGGCCTGCGCTACAAGATTGGGACACTGTAGCCACCGTGGGTGAGTGAGAACTTGTTCGTGAGGACGCAGCCCAGGGCCAGGGTCCCCTGCGACCCTCGGGCTTTTATTTCCCACACACTCACACTCAGTATTCGGCTTCCAGAAACCGGGCAGCCCCACATCACAGAGCTTTCAGGAGGGTGACTTCATCTTTGGGACTCAGTGGCTCCCTGCTGGGGTGCCAGTCACCCTAGGGCCCCACGCCCAGCTTTCCTAGCGCTTGCGCACCTGCTTGGGCCCAGATTTCTCAGGTTCGGATCCATCCTCCCCACTGTGGACCCCTGGCGGGGTTCAGGGGATAGGTACGCAGACGTTTTTCCATCCCCTGTGAGCCCCGGTCTCGGTTTTTCTTTAGTGGCTCCAAACTTCGTGCCCCTGTGACCAGGCAGGTTTTTGGAGAAACCAGTGAATCCTCAAATGGCCCGGGTGCTGCGAGGAGCCTAGGATCATGAGCGTCTGCTTCTCAAGTCTGATGCACAGGAGTCCCAGGCTTCTCTGGGACCTCGGCCGCTAGGACAGTTGCCTCAGGTGTGGGTGTGAACTTTTAGGAAAGTGTTTGGAAGATGGACAGGGGTCCAGGAGGAACTGGCATACTCCGCTTAGCTGGGGTCAGAGATTCCAGAGCCTTCTCTGGCACCCGGTGTTGGAAGTGAGGAAGTCAAGCCAGGGTTCAGGGCCAGGGCTGAGGGAGAATTAACACTTTCTCAGCCAGGCCAGTGAGATGGCTCGGTGGGTAAAGGGGCTTGCAACCAGAGTACAATCCCAGTTTCCGCTTGGACTGACACTCTTCCACGTCCAGGCTTTGGATTGACGTTTGAGGGAAACAGAGATGCTTGGATGCATTTATTCATTCGTTTATTTATTTATTTATTTATTTATTTGTTTGTTTGTTTGTTTATTTATGATGTTGTATCCCAGGCTGGCCTTTAAGTCACTTTAGAGCCCAGGATGACCTTAAGTTGCAAATTTCCTGCCATTCTTTCCTGAGTCCTGGGACTGCAATCCTACTCCAGGACAGATTGGTTATAAGGTACTGGGAACCTAGCCCCCGCCCTTGTTTTTGGGAAATTGACTGACCTGAAAGTCACTAAGGCCAAGCCAGCTGCAGACTCCTGTCTTAGCTTTCCAAGTGCTGGAACTCCCCCTCCTTCCCTTACTCCCTTCCTTTCTTATTTCCTTGTTTCCTTCGTTTTCTTTCTTTTTTGAAAATAATGGTTCTTCATAGCTCTGGCTGTCTTAAATCTCACTATGTATACTAGGCTGGCCTCTTAACTCCTGCCTCTTCCTCTCAAGTGTTAGGATTAAATGCCTGTGCCACCACACCTAGCTCTTTTGCTAATTTTTAAATTCACTTATTTGTGGCGCTAACGGGGATGGGGGCAGCACAAGTGTAAAGAATCAACTTTCAGGAGTGTGTTATTTTGTTCTACACCACTTGGGTCCGAGGTATTGAACTCAAGTCCTGGGATTTGGTAGCAAGCTTGTTGTTCACCTACTAAGCCCTCATATTGGCCCACTGTGTCACCAGCGTGGACCCCATGGGGCTTCTTGGGAGCCTCCCTGGGACTTGTCATGGCCTGAATCCTTCATCCTCTTCACCTTTTCTTACTATGCCTTTTTCCCCTGAACTCTAGAAGTATTTGGGTGAACACATTAGCCTCTCTTCTCCCCCATTCATCTTTTATTATTTTTTTTAATACACACGGAACTGAGTTACAAGTACTCTTTTCACTGAGTCCTCATGTCAATTTAGACCATACCTATGACAAATATGGAGTTTGGGGGGTATTTGAGACAGGGCCTCCGTTTGTATCCCTGGCTGTCCTGGTAGTTGTTGTGTAGATCAGGCTGGCCTGGAACTGCTGGTGCCTACAAGTACATACCACCCAAATAAATCCAGGTAGAACCACACACACCCTCACACCCTCATGCAGACAATCTCTGCATTCCCAGTCAGTCCCCAGCACACACCCAACTCTGCATTCTCCCGAAAATAAGGATTGATGCTATTGCCCCGACCTGAAGCTTATTTCTCCATTCATTAGGAGATTCAAGTAGTGAACATTCCAGGCTAGGGATGTGATTCAGTGGGTACAATGCTTACAGTTTTGTTGGAATCGTGCTTACAACTTGATGGGAAAACTACTTGTGATTCTCTGGGTACAGTGCGTGTGACTCAGTGGACAGAGAGCTCGCTGGATAGAGTGCTTGTGATTCAGTTGGTACAGTGCTTGCCTTCAGCGGGTAGAGTATTTATAGCTAAGTGGGTAGAGTGCTTCTAACTCAGAGAGTAGAGTAGATCTCAGTAGAGCATAATAGATCTCAGATCGAAATTTATGATCAGGACCCCTCTTTCCTGTGGGCCTTCTCCTGTATTCTTGTTTCCCTGGACATAGCTGTGATCTCTTGTGTCCTGTGTCGCAGTTTACTGCGACAGTGCCTCCATGGCCTGCTGCCTTATGGAAAGCTGGTGCTAAATCCTTGGTCCTGCATGGGTAGGAGATCTAAAGTCCCTCTGGAAGGGGGCCTCCTCCTTAGAAGATGGAGGGTCATGTGAGTAGCCATCAGATGCTCTGACAGATCACTACAAGCTAGTGCTTTACACACTAGAAAGTAATTGCTGAGCCTCCTGCAGGGGAGGGGGTCTTGGGGCTCTGAGAGACTTTGTCACCATCTGATAGTCCATAGTGACATTAATCCAAATCAAAAACCATTTAGGGGACACTTGCAGTCAGGATCTTTGAAGGGTGTTGACTGTGCATGAGTGGGGACCCAGAGTGCCTTAAAGGGAAAAAAAAATCAATCACTAATCAGTCAATACTGCCAGTCACCAGCATTCATGTCTACTGATGCAATGAGAGCAGCTGCATCATGCTCCTGTCCCCATGACATCATCACCTCAACAAGGCCCACTTCTCACTACCACACAGCCTAGTCAGCACTAATGGAATAGGATGTGAAATTTGCATAACATTCATGAATATGCAAGTACACATTTACCCACTTTGTACAGTGACAAGCCTCTGCTTCTTTCTAGAGCAGTCTCATTGTACACAGGAGAGACTATGTTCACCCACGGTGCACCAGGCTATTCTCTTTGCAGAGTCCCTAAAGGTGGAATCCTGTGCACAGTACCCCACACCACATCATCACCTCCCTGAGTACCACCTCCTAATTCCTTGTGGTTTATGAGATGGGTCTTTACTGTCAATCAAATCAAGCATTTGCCCTGATGGAAGGATTGTGGGTTGGAGGGATATGACTATGGGAAGCCTGGAGCTCCCAGGAGCTGGAAGGGGTGGGGAGGGTCCTCCGTGATGCCTGTAGGGGATGGGGAATGGAGGACTGATGGCTCCTACACCTCACATTCCCACCCTAGGAAGGAGGATAACAGGCGAGCCTACCCACTCCATGCTATCTTGGATCTCTCCCATTCTGTGATGTCCTGACTGAACCTACCTGGGCCATCTTGAACCCCCACCCATCCTGCACCCTCTTGAATCCCACCCAACCTGCACCATTCTACCTTAAACCTGTGTGTGTCATCTTGAACCCCACCCACCCTGTGCCATCTTAAATCCCACCTAACCTGTGCCTGCCAGTTTGCCTTGAACCTATGTGTGCCATCTTGAATAGCACCCAATCTGTGCCATCTTGAGTGCCACCCATCCTGCACCGTCTTAACTAAACCTATGTGCACCATCTAGAATCCCACCCAAGGAAACTATCTTGAATTGCTCACTGCCTTGATTTATTCTTTCAGGTTTCTTCTCTTCTCCTAACTGTTTTCTCCTGAATGCTCTCTTAGGACATAAAGTGTTTATCTCACCCTCCTCAGGCTTGGCTGTGTATCCTGTTTTCCTCCTCAACCCCTGGCTGTGTGTTTGTTCTGTTCTCCTCAGCCCCTGGTTGTGTACCTGTCCATCTCATGTTCAACCCCTGCTATCCTATTCCTAAATAACCAAGGGTGATATGCTATTCTCCCCTCTCTGAGGCACTTTTTCTGAGTCACTTTGGTGGTGGTCTTAGAGTGAGTTTCAGGATGATTCTCCTCCAGAGGAGGAGCCAGATTGGGGACATCACCCAAAAGGAGAGCAGGAAGTTGCAGCCAGTGTTAGTCATGCAGGCCAATGCTTCTTGTTGCAATCTCCCCTAAAGCCTGGGTGCTCTAGACTGAATGTAACCACACACTGAGGACAGAAACTTCATTCTCTTGAGGACTCATGTATCTATCTTTAAACTTTGTATTCACTCACATTTTTATTTTATTTTATTTTTGAAGTGCTGGGCATTGAATATAGAGCCTCACACGAAGAAAATAACTTCCTTCACTCTCTTAAGTCTCCTATCTCCAGTCCCTTTTTGGGGGGAGTCTTCCTCTCTAGTTCAGACTTTGCTGGAACTCACTATGTACTCCAGGCTGCTTTCAAATGACTGTTAATCCTCCTGCCTCTACTTAGGGAGTACTAGGATTAAAGCCTACCTCACCCAGTTTATGCAAAATTGGGGATTGTGCCCAGGACTTCACGCATACTATACTAAATACTTTACTTTTAGTTTTATTTCCTATCTGAAATAATGCCATGCTATCACACTTCCTTTATTTTAAAAAGATTTCTCCCTGGAGTTGAGGGTGTAACTCACTTGATACAGTGCTTGGAGCTCTGTGGATATAGTGCTCGTGACTTAGTCGATTGGCGCTTTCTTGAAGGAGGCCATCTGTGCTAATGACACATTGGCACATTTGATACTTTGCTCCTTCAGGATTATTCTGGCTTGTGCTTCTATTCCACTCTTCTGTTTATATTTTTCTTTGTGAGGTCAAGGATGGAATGTGGGGAAATTTGGGAGAGGAGGTGGAATGGAACCCAGGGCCTCGTGCATGCGAAGCAAGTACTCCACTGAGCTACACACCCAGACCAAGAAAGAACTATTGGTAGTATTGTTATCACTGCTATTATTATTATTGCTCTGGTTGTTGTGTGAAGTGCTGGGAATGCACCCAAGGGACTTATTTGTACCAGGCATGAGCTCCAGCACTGAGTTACACCCCCAGCTCATCCCTCCTGTTTCTATATCAATGCTGTATTAACCTCAGGCAAAAATCACCATTTTCCAATATGATGGAGAAAAGGAAAGAACCTGCATCTCACTAAACCACCTGCGGGGACTGTCCCTGCTTGTGCCCCATTGGCTCTTGAAACACAGTTCTGGACATCTGGGTCACTTCTATGTAGCATCTTTCTGAGCTGTCCTAGGAGCCTTGCTGCTCATGTAAAACTTTATATTCCCCCCTTACCATGCCAGACATGCATTACTTCTGAAAGGTTCCAGGTATCCATGGATGGGGTACTTGACTATCATTTGTAGAGCCTGTGTGAAATAGCCATTTGTTTTGTTTCTTTTTAATTAGTAAGGCCACTCAGCCATGTGCCATGGAAGGCAACCTCAGAATCTGTGAGTGCTATAAAATCATTTACAATTAATTTGGGTGGCATTGTTTGTTACCTTGATGACCTGTGACTTAGGGGTAGCTTTACAGATCAAAGAACTGTGCTGGAATGACTTGTGTGAATGGCTAGGGTTTAAGCATCAAAGATGGAGTAATTTTGCATCAAATAGGTATGCTGGGACATCCTGGAAAAGGTAGATATAACTTGCATTTGAGTGACTGTGGGTGCGTTGGTGGCTTACAACTGAGGGTTTGGGAATGGAGGTAAGGTAGGGACAGACAACTTATGTTTGGGCCCAGTGACAGCACAGGTCATTCTACAGACTTTGAAAATTGGTGTGGAATGTGTATTAGCCAGCTTTCTACTGCTGTGACAAAATCCCTGACATTATAAATTATAAAGAAGAGTGATTTGTGTTGGTTCCTGGCATCAGAGGCGTCTCTCCATGGATCTGTGGCTTTGGACCTGTGGTGATGCAGAGCATCATGGGAGCTTGTGGTAGAGCAGAGCTCCTCGCTACATATTAGCCAGGAAGCACAGAAAGGGAAGAGAAGACTGGGCTCCCAGGGTCCGCTTCAATGACACAACCCCATTAAGCTAAGTTTCTTCCACTGAGCAGTAAATTGCACCTTGCCCTGGGAGTTCTGGTACTTTCTGGTTGGCTTTGTTCAGACAGCTTCTGGCAGTTGGTGCTCTGCTGCACTGTGCTTTTCCACGGTGTTAGGTTTCTCTCTCCTGTGCTTTGGCTCCACAGCTCTTCTGCTCTGTGTAATCAAAACCACCAGCTGCCTCGGCACCCATAAGCCGCAGACACAAGTGTGAAGGAAACAAGTCAGTAGCCATCTGATGGCAGAAGCCATCCTGCGGACTTCGTATCACAGTACAGCTGTCACAGGCTCTGCTCATGTGGTGTACGTTGAGCACAAAAGTGATGTGCAATCCACCAACCAGAAGCAAAGGCAAGGGTTCTGGTATCATGGCACTTCTTTTTTCCTTTTACTGTGATAAAATGCCTGATAACAGGAATTTAAAGGAAGAGGGGATTATTCTGGCTCAGATTGCTGCTGATCCATCATGGAGGCAGTAATGTGCTGCAGTTGACACACAGTCAGGAGCAAAGAGAGGGAGCACACAGGGCTCAGCACACTTTCTCCTTTTTAGTTAGTCCAAGACCCCAGCAAAGGGATGGTGACCCCCACATTCATAGTAGGATTTCCCACCTCCATAAACCACACATTCAGGGGTAGTCTGGAGGAGAGTGAAGTTATTCTAAGCATTTTCGGCTTGATTACCTCATTCTTCTTTGAAATGTCTATAAACACTCCCACCCATACTTTCTACCATCTGATCTACTGTAGGCCATCCCTGGCTTCCACTCAGGGCCATTTGTGACACTGCCTCTTCCAGTCATGTGTGTTCTGTGGCAGGTGTCTCCTGGTTCATTGACATCCCTTTTCTAAATAACAAAGCCAAATAATCTTTGTATTCACTCACATTTTCATTTTGTTTTATTTTGAAGTGCTGGGCATTAAATATAGAGCCTCACTCACAGGAAGAAAATACCTTCCTTCACTCTCTTAAGTCTCCTCTTTCCAGTCCCTTATATCCAAGTTAATTCATTGTAGGCTAAAATGGCAGAAGTAAAAAAAAAAAAAATGTTTTTGAAGCTGGGTGTGATAGAGCATGACTGTTGTCCCTTTTACACAACTAAAGTACTGAATGTGGTTTTTGTGGTCATTGGGCTGCTCAGCCTGATGTCTAGCTGTGGATGTGTCCTTTTTGATCCAGTGCCTGGCTCTAGCTTGCTGGGGGGTGGGAGAGAGAGCATCCTGCATGTTTGTAATGGTGGGAGAAGAATGAAATTGTATGAGGTTTGCTTTTTCCGAGTATATAGCTTTCCTATATCATAAGGAAGAATATTGTACATTTAATTGTCACAAAGCAGAAAGCAGCTGTGTTTAAAAGCCAGGATGGGGAGGGTAGGTGTGTGGATGGGTGGACGGGGGTTCGGTGGATAGATGAGCAGGGGGATTGATGGGGGTTGACAGAAAGATGAGTTAGCATATAGATTGAAATGGAAAGGACAGTAAAAAGAGGAGGAAGAGATGGGTATGAAGCTGGGAAAGAAAAGGAACCAAGAGCCATACATAGAGATGAGTATGGAGGAAGATGAAGAAGTAGGATGGAAAAAAGGGAAGAGGAGAAAGTGAGGAGATGAAAGAGCAGAGGCATTTGAGCTTGATGTAGGAAGAAAAGACAGGAGGAGCAGAGAGATTCAAGAAGAGAAGAAGCAGAAAGTCCAGGAGGAACTAGAGGAAGAGGAGGGGACGGGGCAAATAGAAAGAGCTAGTACCCTACCAGGAATCACTGAGTCTAGTATGTGATCTCTTCCCATGGCTTTCTTTTAAATCAAATCTCCATTGCACATAGCAGGCAATTATTTTTTTTAAGTCTTAGTCATTATTATTACTATATGTATGTGTGGTTGTATGCAACAGCATACTTGTGAACATCACAGGCAACTTTTTGGAGTGAGTGTCCATCTGTCCATTCCCCATTACCCTCAGAGCCATCTTCCTAACCCCTTGATTAACATTTGTGTATGAAAGTATATCCATAAAGTCCTCAGTGCTCAACTAACTGTCATTCTCTACATTCAGCTTTAAGGCCCCAGGGTGACATGGTGTCCATTCCTCAGGTATGTTTAATTTTTCTCATCCTTGACTGCCTGCATTGTCTTCCTCAGGCACTGGGACCTTTGGTCGTGTGAACCTGGTGAAGGAGAAGACAGGTAGGCGGTACTATGCCTTGAAGATTATGAGCATCCCAGATGTCATTCGCCTGAAACAGGAACAGCATGTGCAGAATGAGAAAGCAGTCCTGAAGGAAATCAACCATCCCTTCCTCATTAAGCTGTGAGTCCCTGGCTCTTTCCTCTTCACCGTCCCAACTCTGGAAGGTTATTCCCTCCTGAGTGCATTGTGGGGGAAGTGTGGGAGCAGTAGCTCAGTGGCTAGAGTGCTTTTAGCTCAGCTAATACTGTTTGTAGCTCTGTGACTACAGTCCTGGCTTGTAGCTCAGTGGATGGAATGCTTGTAGTTCAGTATTAGAATACTTAGAACTCAACTAATACAGTGTTTGTAGCTCAGTAGGTAGAGCGCTTGTATAGCTCAGTTGATTGAGTGCTCATAGTTCAGCTGAGAGACAGCTTGTAGCTCACTGAATAGAGTGCTTGCAGCTCATACAATGGTTGTAGCTCAGTGGGAAGAGTGCTTATGGCTCAGTGGAAAGAGTGCTTGTGGCTCAGTGGGTAGACAGCTTGGGGCTCAGCTGGTAGAAAGCTTGTGGCTTAGTGCGAGAGAGCTACTAACTCAGTGGGAAGAGTGCTTGCTTGGGTAGTCTATAGCTCAGTGGATAGAATGCTTGTAGCTCAGTGGTGGGAGGGAGGAGATATTACATAGGTGCTTTTTAATTGTTTTTTTTATTTATTATAATTTATTCACTTTGTATCCCAGCTGTAGTCCTGTCCCTTGTCCTCTCCCAATCCCGCCCTCCCTCCCTCCGTCCTCTCCTCCATGATCCTCACTCAGTCCACTGATATGGGAGGTCCTCCTCCCCTTCCATCTAACCCTAGCCTATAAGGTCTCATCAGGACTAGCTGCATTGTCCTCTTCTGTGGACTGGTAAGGCTGCCTCCCTCCACGCTTCAGGGGACAGAGATCAAAGAGTCAGCCACTGAATTTAAGTCAGTGACAGCCCCTGTTCCCCTTACTAGGTTTGGAGACTGAGGTACCATGGGATACATCTGTGCAGGGGTTTTAGGGATATCTCCATGAATGGTGCTTGGTTGGAGTATCAGTCTCAGAAAGACCTCTGTGCCCAGATTTTTTGGTTTTGTTGCTCTCCTTGTAGAGCTCCAGGCCCCTCAAGGTCTTTCTATCTTCCCATTCTTTTATAAGATTCCCTGCACTCTGCCCAAAGTTTGACTGTGAGTCTCAGCATCTACTTCATTACCCTGCTGAGTAGTATTTCAGAGGCCCTCTGTGACAGACTACTGTCCTGCTCCCTGTTTTTCCCTCTTCCAATGTCTGTCCAGTTTGCTTTTCTGAATGAGGATTGAGCATCTTACCCAGGGTCCTACTTGCTTAGCTTCTTTAGGTGTACAGATTTTATTATGTTAATCCTATATTATATGAATAATATCCACTTATAAGTGAGCATATACCCATGTGTGTCTTTCTGCTTCTGGAATACCTTACTCAGGATGATCTTTTCTAGTTCCTACCATTTGTCTGAAAATTTCATGATTCCTTGTTTTTAATTGCTGAGTAGTATTCCGTTGTGTAAATGTACCACAATTTTTGTATCTATTCCTCAGTTGAGGGACATCTGGGTTGTTTCCAGGTTCTGACTATTATGAATAAAGCTGTTACAAACACGGTTGAGCAGATGTCCTTGTTGTATACTTGAGCATCTTTTGGATATATGCCTAGTAGTAGTATAGCTGGATCTTAAGGTAGTACTATTCCTAATTGTCTGCGAAAGCACCAGATTGTATGAGTTTACACTCCCACCAGCAATGGAGGAGGGTTCCCCTTTCTCCATATCCTCTCCAGCATGTGTTGTAACTTGAGGTTTTGATTTTAGCTATTCTGATGGGTGTAAGGTGAAATCTCAGGGTCGTTTTGAGATCGCATTTCCCTGATGACTAAGGAAGTTGGGCATTTCTTTAAGTGTTTCTCTGCTATTCTATATTCCTCTTCCAGAATTCTGTTTAGCTCTGTACCCCATTTTATTTAATTGCATTACTTGATTTGTTGCTGTTTACTTTCTTGAGTTCTTTATACAGTCTGGATATTAGCCCTCTGCTACATAGGTTTTGTCTTGTGTGTGGATGTGCACATGGGCACAGTACCCATAGAGGCCAGAAGAGGGTGCTATATTTATTTCCTTGGAACTGTAATTACAGGTGGTTGTTTACTGTCCAACTAGGTGCTGGGATTCAAACTTCCATTCTCAAGAACAACAAGTGCTCTTAACCTCTAATCCATTCCTCCAAACTCAACCCATGTTTTTGTATAACAACTCCTTTTTGTGTGACCTGACCAGGACCCATGATGCTAACATTAGTCTCTTAAATGTTGATGATCCTATAAAAGTCCAAGACCTGGGCCTTTTGTTGCAGCCTTTAAGCAAGGTGACAGAGTAAGCTAATTATTCATTTATGATTTTCATATAAAACTCAGCTGGTGGTTTTTTTCAATATTAAATCCCTTTTCGCATTTCAGAAATATATATATATATATATATATATAGAAATATATACATATATATTTCTAATATATTATAGATATATAAATATATATCTAAATATATTTCTAATACATTTTAGAAATATATATATATACACACATATACATATGTCCATATGTGTATATGTGTGTGGAGATCAGAGAACATCTGTTGTTTTCTTAATTTACACTAAGTCTTTGAAACAAGGTCTCCTGCTGGCCTGGGACTTAGAAACTGCCATTGTCTATCCGCCCAGAGAGCCCCAGGGAGGGTAAATTACTCAGCCTGGTGTCATTGAAACATCACAACAGAATAGCCATGCTATTCTAGATATTCTATGCTGTCAGAACATGATAGAGGTAGCTACAGTCAAAATTCATTAGCGTAGTATAGAAATTAGAGAGTCAGGGCCTGGAAAGAGGGCTCAGTGGTTAAGAGCATTTGTTTTTCTTGCAGAAAACCTGGGTTTGGTTCTCAGCACTCACCTCTCAGCACACTGTCATCTGTAATTCTAGTTCCAGGAGATCTGATGCCCTCTGCTGTCTTCAGAATGTGCTGAACTGTCTCTCTGTCTCTCACACACACACACAAACACACAATAGATAGATAGATAGATAGATAGATAGATAGATAGATAGATAGATAGATAGATAGATAGATAAAAATACAAATACTGTTTTTAAATTCGAAACATGGTGTCTGTAAATTCCACAGACTTAAATATTAGCCAAAATGGGTTTCTCTCAGCCACAGCACCAACTGAAGCTCATCCCTCTATGAGTGTTTTGTGTACCAGTCTTCTCTCCTTATGAGAATCCAGTATCATTAGGTTTATCCCAGAGACTTCACTCTACCCCAATTTCTTGATTTAAAGACCCGTCTTTACCCAACACTGTCCGAAGTTCCTGAGTGTGCAGACTTTTAACTCATGAATTAATCCTAAGTGCTTAGCTAAGTCAAGCTTGACAACTCCACCTACTCCTGTGTGACTACACATTCCTTATAGGAATCTTTTCTTTTCTTGCTTTGTTTTATTTATTTTGCATTCACAGGATTCAACAGGTGAGTTAAGTACTAAGTCAGAGTTGACTTAGTGCTGTAGGGACTTGAATTTGACATGCATGCTGCACTCACAGCATGGCAGAGCATGCTGTGTATCTGTCCAGCTGTGGGAACACAACTTAGTGGGTCATTGAACTTCAACAGTTGATATACATGCTGTTAAAGATCCTTATATTCTTATAGTCTGTGCTTTAAATGTGAACTCTTGAGAGGTCATCCATCCAACTTGTGCATGTTGCCTAGGAACATGGAATAGTCTGTTTTTCTTGAAGAGACATGAGATGTCCAGCATAGTGGGAATGGCTTCAAACAGCTAATGGAAATTTTAGCTTATGTTGCTGCAGGTATCTGGGCTTATTTGCAAATGGCTTTACCAAGAGACAGTATTAAACTCAGCCCACTGTGGGTGGCACTATTCCCAGGGCAGGGGGAAAATATTCAGTGAGCTTCAACTGTCAATAGGCACAACCCAAAATCCCCTGGGAAGGGTCTCACTGACTGATTTCCCACATCAGACCAGACTGCAGACATATCTACTAGAGGGTTCTAATTGATTGACACAGGACTGCACCCACCATTGGTGGCACTTTTCCCTAGGCAGGATGAGGGTGCACTGTCAAGTTGACACAGAAAGCTTGTACTGTTGATGGAGACCATAATCCCTCACCTTGTAAACTCATTCTTTTGTGTTAGAGGGACATGCACACAGAGATTTAAGCAGCAGTGAAATCTGGGGTGGAGTGAGTCTCTTGAGAAGCTTGTGGTGTGCACTCTAGGTGCCATACTGCAGGTGCTGGGAGGAGCCTCCCATCCTAGGGCCTTATAGTCAGAGAATGCTCTGTTGACATTGCTGTGTGCCCCTGGGAAGCAATGACGTTTGTGGATGAAAATCTTGTAGTAGTTGAGTGGGAGTTACTTAGGATGGATAGATAGATAGATAGATAGATAGATAGATAGATAGATAGATAGAT